CAATCTAAGATTCTCATCATTGATGTTACTATCTCTCCCTCTCTGAAATAATCAAAATATATATTTTTAAAAAGATGAGTTTAAAATTGTTTTGGTAAGAAGTATTGTCAGAAAGGTCTCAGAACTTCTGCTGTAACATTGTACAGTGGGGCCTTGACTTACGAGTTTAATTTTTATTGATTTGAGAGAGAGATTGAAACATCAATGATGAGAGAGAATCATTGATTGGCTGCCTCCTGCACACCCCCTACTGGGGATTGAGCCCACAACCTGGGCATGTGCCCTTGACCAGAATTGAACCCGGGATCCTTCAGTCCACAGGCCGACACTCTGTCCACTGAGCCAAACTGGCTAGGGCTTGATTTCATCTTTGTAAAGAAATCTCTTCTGGAGCCTTTTACCTGGCTCTACTCTGCTGGTCACCCGAGACCTAGTGCACAACTTCACTCTGGGTTTTCTTTACCATCACCGGAGTGTGACTCGGTTGCTTTGCTGTTTGGGATTTCCTGTATTAGTGCATCCTGTATATTCCTCTTTCTTAGGTTACTTGTATTGTCTAACTCACCTTAGATCTTCCTGGGGAAAATGCATGTCTGAAAGTGTCATTCTACCCTCCCACTGTTGGGCTGGGTATAAAATTAGCCTTGGAAATCATCTTATTTCAGAAGTTCAAGGGCATTATTTCATGGTCTTCTGACTTCTGTTATAGTTGAAGGGAAATCCAAGCCATTCTAGTTCATGGTCTCTTGTAACCACATTAGCCTATTGAAACCTGCAACATCTCGGTGTTCGAAATACTGTGCTTCCTGTGGGGTGGGTCTTTTTGCCCATTGAGCCGGGTACTAAATGGGCCCTTTCAATCTGAAAACTTGTGTTCTCAAGTTCTGGGAAATTTTCTTGAAAATTTCATTGATAGCCAAAACCGGTTTGGCTCAGTGGATAGACACCTCTGATTTGAATATTAGACATGATGGACTAGTCCTCATTTTCTTAATCTTTTTCTCATTTTCATTTCTTTGCCTATATGTTCTATTTCCTAGAATTCCTCAGCTTTATCTTTCAACCTTTCTATTGAATTTTTTTCACTTTTCCTCTCTGTAAAAAATCAATAAAATATATTTAAAAAAAAAAAAAAAAGAAAATTTCATTGATGATTTTTCTTCCCTTTCTGATCTTCGTTGGACACCTCTGATTTGAATATTAGACATGATGGACTAGTCCTCATTTTCTTAATCTTTTTCTCATTTTCATTTCTTTGCCTATATGTTCTATTTCCTAGAATTCCTCAGCTTTATCTTTCAACCTTTCTATTGAATTTTTTTCACTTTTCTTGTGTTTTTAACTTGTCTAGGCCAGTGATGGCAAACCTTTTGAGCTCGGCGTGTCAGCATTTTGAAAAACCCTAACTTAACTCTGGTGCCGTGTCACATATAGAAATTTTTTGATATTTGCAACCATAGTAAAACAAAGACTTGTATTTTTGATATTTATTTTATATATTTAAATGCCATTTAACAAAGAAAAATCAACCAAAAAAATGAGTTCGCATGTCATCTCTGACACGCGTGTCATAGGTTCGCCATCACTGGTCTAGGCTCTTGTCATGTTTCCTTTTTTTTTTTTTAGTATTCTGTTTTTCATGGATATAATTTCTTATTTCTCAGAGTATGATTTACATTCTTTTCTAACTTTTTTCTTCTGTTTTTATTTTGATCCCTGTCATGTTAAGTGGCTTGCTTTAGATTGGTGGGGTTTTTTTCAGAGTGAAAGATCAAGAAGCTGATTGGAAGTTGAGCACACAAGAGCTGGCGTACTGAGTTTCACTAAAGGTGTTTTTCTCTTAAGCTGATCCGCTTTCCCAGAGAGGAGTCTACTGAGCTCCTTCCTGGGAGCCAAGTGGGAGGAGGTGGGTGGGGAAATGGGTCTCAGTTTTTAGTCACCGAATCCTGTTTTTAACTCAACTTCTGTCCCTCAGCTCTGCCTGTGTTTCAAAGATCCTCTTACTGTGTGGAGAGGATAAGCCTCTAGTCTTTTACTTGAATGGGGATAAGGTAGTTTTTCACTAACCCTCCTTATTTTAGTTTCCTCCCAACATTAAGATTTCTCTTTACATTTATTTTTATATTGGGTGTGACTTCATAATGAAATTTCTGTATCCAGAGAGACTAGGTAGGGTAGGCAGCATAAAGCCCCTCCCCCCAAAAGCCTGTGATTATGTTACTTCACATAGCAAAGGAGACTTTGCAGATGTAATTAAGGAGCTGGAGAGAGTATAGGCGTATTTCAGAGATACTGTGGGTTCAGTTCCGGACCTTCATAATAAAGCAAGTATCACAATAAAGCGAGTTGTAATCTTTTTGCTGGTGGAGGGTCTTGCCTTCATTTTGTAAAAAACAGACCTGTGAAGCGCAATAAAACAAGGTAAGCCTGTATCCTGGGCTGTCCAGGTGGGCCCAATGTAATCACAAGCACTCAGCTGAGAAACGCAGGCAGTCTTGAAGGTGAAAAAAGCAAGTAAAGGGATTCTCCAGTGCCCAGAAGGAATGCAATCCCACCAAGCCATTTTGGATGTCCGACTTCCAGAACAGTAAGCTAATGCATTCGAGTTGTTTTAAGCCAATATATGTGTGGTAATGTCTCAGCAGTGTAGACAAAAGGGGCCACATGCTGGCTCAGGGAAGGCCTGTGTGGCGGCCTTGTAAACTCTAGAGACCTAGTTACCATAAGGATGGTCTGAAATTAAAACTTTTTAAGTAAAAGCAGTTTATGGCAGGTAGTCATGTCCTAGGCTAGATTCTTCCCTGGCAAAAGTCAATCTTTACCTCAACTAAGCCTGTTTTTTGTCTATAATAATATAACATTGGAATGTCAGGGTAACTTGTAACTTCCCTTTTTCCAGATGCCTCAGGGCACAACCAATGCACCAGGGCACCTGGACAGAGACCACAAATTCCCTCATTGTTATCCTGTACCTTTCTATATAAAAGAGGCGTGTGTCTATCATTTTACTTTTTATCCAATCCCAGAGGTCCACTCCCCTCCACCCCTCCAGCCCTGCTTTGCTTTCTCTGGCTACATATCAGAATCACCTGAAGACTTTTGGAAGCATACTGGCACCTGAGACTGTCGGTTTCTGATAATGGAATCTCATACCAGTATTTTTAGAAAACTCCTTGATTGTAATGTGCAGCCAGGTCTGAAAACCTCTGTAAAGCTAAGTGTAAAAATAACATTTACCTAACAGTGTGGTTTTATCTTAAAATGTGGTTCCTGGACCATCACCACCTGGGAACTTGTTGAAAATTTAAACTGTTCAGCCCTGCCCCAGACCTACTGAGTTAGACACGTTGGGGGTGAGGCCAGCTACCTGTGTTTTAACAACCGGCCCCCCAATTCTGTGCACACTGAAGTCTGAGAACCACTGTCTAACCAAAGAACCTCCTTATCACTCTTAATTTTTTTTTTTTTTGCTTAGAATCAAATTTATTATATTGCAAATATAAGTTTAAGATACAGAGTATGGAAGAATTTTTATTTTAGTAATCTTTTATCTCTTCAAATGGTATAATTTTTTTGTTGTTGTCTGAAATCAGTAGTTATTTTTTTTATTTATTTATTTTTATTGCTAAAAGTATTACAAAGGGTATTACATGTGTCCTTCCCCCCCCCTCCCGCCCCCCGCCCTTGACAATCCCCTGGCCTCCCTTACCTCCCCAGTGTCTTACGTCCATTAGTTATGCTTATATGCATGCATACAAGTCCTTCGGTAGATCTCTTACCCCCCTCCCTTCTGCCCCCCAACCCTCCCTGGCCTTCCCGCTGCAGTTTGACAATCAGTTTGAGGCAGCTCTGCCTCTGTATCTATTATTGTTCAAAAGTTTGTAATGGTCTTTATTATCCATGAATGAGTGAGATCATGTGGTATTTTTCCTTCATTGACTGGCTTATTTCACTTAGCATAATGCTCTCCAGTTCCATCCATGCTGTTGCAAATGGTAAGAGTTCCTTCTTTTTTACAGCAGCATAGTATTCCATCGTGTAGATGTACCACAGTTTTCTAATCCATTCATCTACTGATGGGCACTTAGGCTGTTTCCAGATCTTAGCTATGGTGAATTGTGCTGCTATGAACATATGGGTGCACATATCCTTTCTGATTGGTGTTTCTGGTTTCTTGGGATATATTCCTAGAAGTGGGATCACAGGGTCAAATGGGAGTTCCATTTTTAGTTTTTTGAGGAAACTCCATACTGTCTTCCATAGTGGCTGCACCAGTCTGCATTCCCACCAGCAGTGCACAAGTGTTCCTTTTTCTCCACATCCTCTCCAGCACTTGTCGTTTGTTGATTTGTTGATGATAGCCAGTCTGACCGGTGTATCACTCTTAATTTTTGAAGTGTGTGTTATATAGAGATGTTATAAGAATATTGTGGTAAGCAGCTAGGAAAACTTTTAGTTAAGGTCATTCTCAAATATATTTACTTTCCTGCCATACTGTATAGAACTATACTATTTGATGGTTAAGGATCTGAATCGTATGTTATTCTAAACACATACAGATTGTCTGCAGACTATATATACATAGACATGTAAAGGCAGATGTAGGAGGAGCATTAGGTATTTTTTAAAAAATCCTCAAGTTCTAAGTAGCAAAGTACAGAATAATTTGGAGGCATAGAAGTGTTTACTTCATCAAAGTATGTACAATACACCAACATGTCATGAGATGTGTGTAATGCAATAGGTGAGTAGAAAGCAGTGGTTTAGATTTCTTTTAAATCTAGTACGAATTATTGATAGAAACTTTTTTTGGTTGGTATGGTTTCTTTAGGGAAAGTCTAACTGACGAGTAGTAATCACCAGGGGAAAAGCACAGGCACATAAGGAATAGGATTAATAAACAGCAGTGTTTAGGGTTCATTTATCAGTATTCAGGTTTTGCATAAATTAGTCTAGATTTTTTTTTTTAAGGCCCTACAAAATAAAATGAAATGTAACAGTTCGGTGAGACAATGGCATTTTATTTACATCCATATCCATTCAATAGATCACATCTTCAGGACAGGCAGTAACGTAGTGAAAGGCTATGCTCATTTTCTTCAGGCTGTGGGCAGACTCTCCAGAGTAGCAGTAATTGTTGATCTGAAACCTTTCAAGTAGAGAAAGAATTGCTGTAGGGATTCTATAACTTTATAATCCCCCAAAATACCACTCATGTACAAATAAATGCTTGTCTTCTAGCTAGACACAGGCTCAATTAGTTTTTCAAATACTCTAGCATGGCAGTACATTACTTGGGAAATCAAAGCTGAAACAGAATTGTTCAACTCAAAACTCCTCCTGTCTTTCATTACGAAAAACAGTAACAAATTTCTTCCATAATACACTGTGGGAGAAAGTTATCAAGACAAAAATCTGCATTCAGAATGTTTTTTCTTATTATAGTTTTTAAACTGACATTAGCCTATAAGTAGCTTTAAGCAATAGTAACTTTTATGCCTCCCATTTTGCCTGAAAATATATATACTAATAATCTGTATGTTCTGTAAGCTAGAGGTTGCTAATTTTCATTCTTTTGCACCAAGAAAGACATACTTTTTTTATAGGGAAAGAGATTTAAATATTAAATCTAAAGCTTGATTTTCTCCAAATAATAGTTGTTTGCTTTCTAAGTTTTTTAAGGTAAATGTAACAAGATGCCTTATGATTTAATTTTCCCCAGAAAAAAATAAATGCCCTCATGTTTGGGTGATACTTTCTCTTATTTTTGATATCTTTAATATTTTTTACATCATGAAACATCATTATGACCTTATCTAATTGTTATTGAAATGAGAATTATCTTTATTTGCCTGAAAAAACATTTTACAGGCTGGATATTTCACCCTGGTAGTTTGGTTATATTCTTCAGTCAGTTTAGTCTGATCCAGAAGATCCTTGCAGTATGGCTGGTGCAGAGCTCAGTTTCTCTAGCCCAGACAAGCTGCCATAGTCTCTGTAAGCTACTTGGCTGATCAAACTATGGAGACACTGATTTCAACTTTTTGTTCTATACTTAAACTATGTAGTTATATGCAGTGTGTTAAAACAAAGCATAAAGATGAAGGCATTTAAACATATTACAAATGACTCTGACTTGCAGACTAGGGAGGCCTCATGTGTTTGACTTTAAAGGCCCGAGAAAGAAGGTGAAGGCAGTTAGACTTAACCACTGCCAACTAGACTACAGGTTATACCAAACTTCCTTTCTGTTTCGCAGAACTGCTCTTAGAGCCTGTGTCATCATTAGCATGTACTGCTAGCTAATGATATAAACAAGAACATATATGTAATCAGGCGGGCAAGTCTCTAGGGGGTCCTTTCAAATGGTTAAAAAAAAAAAGACTCGGAAAGAAGCAAGACTATACCAACATGTCAGCACTGAAGGTGAAACCAGGGATGATTTCCATTTTAGCATCTCAAAAACAGACAAATCTAAAGCTTATCAGCAGATTATCAACAGGCCACAAGACAGTATTACTGGTTCTATAGGGAAGTGGGAGCTGCAGATCACTGATGTGTGTACATTTATTTCCCCATTGAGCAGCACAGTGACTGCTTTACAAAGCTGTTCCAGTATTCTGCTGCTGCATTAGGAAAACAACAGGCCAACCTCCATTCAACCTCATTTATCGCTTAAATCCCTTCAGCAGATCACACCAGCACAACAGAACCTCCAGCTTTTGGCAGGTGCTCATGAGCATCACGCATGTTACAGTCAGCACATTTCCCTACATATACATATGCACAACTACATTCAAAACATTTAATACAAAATTGTACATTACATGAAGTAGAACCTTAAAGAGTACAGAGAAAATGCATGCAGAGAGAGCCCATTGAAGTACAAAGCCCGTGGGATATATAATTTTAAGTTTATGTTTCCTGCAGGATGGTAACACATTCCCTATCCAGAGGCAAAATATAGTTTCCAAAGTTTTAGATACTGCCCATTGCATTACATTTAAATTAAAATGCTCCCTATGTATTTAGACAGTAAAAGCAAAAAAATACTTACACACATTCCATTTTTTAACATATCAAAAATGTTTCCAAGGCAACATTAAAATGATTATACCACAGTCCCCAACACAACATCAAGCTCCAATAGGAAGGTGCGGAGGGCAGGAGGGTTTCATCCTGTGGGTGGTTTAGGTGCTCTTCTTCTCATCACCCAGTAAATTCACGGCAGCTTTCTTGGCTGTCAGGAGGAAAGGACATTGTGTCAAAGCTCTTTGCAATGCAGGCTCTGTGTGTAACGTAGCTACTGGGTAACAACTGGGATGACTCATGTTCAGATGAGAACACACTGAGGTTTGTGGCCAGGGCTAAAATAAGTTTCCAGGAAATGGACAAGAAACTACTTTACAGCACAAATTCTGAGCACTTGAGCAAAGTTCTTGAAGAGCATCTAGCCTGGCCCCCTGGTAGTGAAGTGTCACCTAAGCCCATTGTCCTGTAAGCATTATAAGCTGCAGAGATTCCCTGGGCGTATGGTGTTCCTCTGTACAATCAAGAAATTCTCGTTTGTGTATGGGTGCTCACCTGTACAATGTCACTATGTCTCAATGAGATGACAAATAGGTCATCCACCTATTCTGTAGTGACAGAAATCAGAGAAAGTCATCATTCCCAGAACCCAGACATGATGGCCTATTTATACACATTTATATTCTCTCACAGTGCCAACATTTCTTCCTATGATGGGAAGAGCGTGCTACAAGTCTCTGAGTTGGAGGCAAGAAAGTACATT